CAGGTAGACAGAACTTGCTAGGGATGTGGCAAATCAGGCCATTTGCGGCAGGATTGCCCCTGGGCAAGACCTAGGACCCGATGCCCCAGATGCAATAAAGGATTTCACTGGGCAAAGGATTGCAGGTCACAGTTTGCTGAAACACCAGCACCTTTAAACTCCAGGTGGGGTGCTCCTCAGCCCCGCCAGTAAGAGGAGGCTCTGATAATCCAAAAATCTATTGGACAATGACCATTTTTCCACACTCCCCAATGCTAACCATTTATCCTGATGGACAAGCTGTCAAAGGTTTGGTTGATATGGGTGCAGATGCTACCATTTTAACCAAGACTGAGGTGCTTTGCTTCCCTCATTGGAGGTTTAAACCCGGCCCCCCCCATCAGTAGTGTGGGAGGCCAACAAGATTCTACGATGATCACTCTTCTGATCCATTGGAAGGATCTTGATGGCAATCAGGAGCCATTCACCCTATCATTTCCAATGTACCTAGGAACCTGTGGGGCAGAGATATTTTGGAGGATATGGTTGGTGTCCTAACTACAGATGACAGGGCCTTTTTTGATGACATCAAGGTTCATGAAAAGGCGGGTCTTGTGGTCTGTGACACTGAATGAAATCTGCACCCCCAATTCTAAGGTCCACTGTCCCCATAAGATCTACCGCCATCGATCCTCCTAGCCCCATTCCATTGACATGGCTCTTGGATCAAGAAGTATGGGTGGAACAGTGGCCTATAATTGAACACAAGCTGTCAACCCTAAAGGAATTAGTTGCAGAACAGTTAAAGATAGGGCACATTGAACCATCCACAAGTAAACATAATACCCCCATATTTGTTATCCCCAAGAAATCAGGATGCTACTGCCTCCTGCAGGATCTTTGTGTAGTTAATGATCTAATGGAAAAGACAGGGTCTACACAGCCAGGCCTCCCCAACCCTAGCATGATTCCTCCATTTTATTATATATTAGTTTTAGATATTAAGGACTGCTTTTTTCAAATTCCCCTGGCACCACAGGATTGAGATCATTTTGCCTTTATTGTGTGGGAACCTAGTATGCATAAACCAGCTAAGAGATATCAATGGACTGTTTTGCTCCAAGGAATGAAGAAGAGCCCTACCATTTGCCAGTTCTAAGTTTATCAAGCTTTGGTCAGTGTCCCCAGGGATGTTCTTTTGATCAATTATATGGATGACCTCCTCTTGGCACACCCAGATGCAGCCTTTCTGCAAAAGACTGCCAAGGGAGTATTAGAAGATCTTGCATTGTTACATCTGATGGTAGCTCCAGATAAGGTCCAAATGGTAACCCCTTTTGCCTTTTTAGGATTTTCTATTGCTAAGCAGGTCTTCCCCCTTTCCTTTAAATTGGAAATGAAGGAATTGTACTCACTATCAGAATTACAACAATTGTATGGTACAGTTAATTGGCTTAAACCTTTCTTACCCATCCCTGACCAAGAGATGAGACACCTATTTTCATTGTTGGAGGGCTTCACTTGTTCTTCCACTAAGGTTATGCTTACCTGAGAAGCTAAAGAGTTGCTACAAAAGATTTTGGGCATTCTAGCCACCTCCAGCCTGCAACACCATGGTCTCCAAAGACCTTTATTGGCAATGGTCCTCTGGATACCCCAGGGATTCTTGGGAGTGTTATGGCAATCTGGGCCCCTTCTACAGATACATCAAGCACATTCTGACCTGCACAAGGTCACCTCTAAGTTTGACAAGTCCTTCCAACTTGGCCTTAAGGCACAAATGCTGGCATGGAGATCATATGGATGAGAGCCACATAAGCTTTTTTTCCCCTTTTCTTTAAAGAATAACCAGTCCCTCTGGGCAGATTCTATCTCATTCCAGGAAATGGTTGCAGGATTCACAGGAACTATTGAAGATCTTAGCAGAACCCCCCACACTTGCAATACAGACAGATACAGCCTCATGTAGTTCCCTCCTCCATTCCCATCCCTCATGCCACTCTGTCCTTTTCAGATTCCAATAAAAACAGATATGGTGTTCTTATCCAGTATCCTGGCTCCAAAGATGTTACACATGTTATCCCTAATCCTGGTTCTGTTCAATTGGGTGAACTATTGGCCCTCCTCAAAGTTCTAATAGAGTGCCAAATTAAGCCTGTTAATATTTTTTTTCTGACAGCTAATACACTGTACAGTTTGTGTGCTGGCCTTTTCTTGAGTCAAAGACTCACTGACCCCCATTGCCAACACTGTGTTGCTCATACAAGATGTCCTAAATCAGAGGACTGAGTCTTGGTACCTGTCACATATTAGATCTCATTCCAAATTACCTGGAATATTGATTCGAGGAAACAAGGTCACAGACACCATCATATTAACAGTCAGTATGGGTCTTCTAGAGCAAGACAGGGCTCTTCACCAGCAGTCCCATCTGTCTCCACAGAATTTACATAGACTTCTTCCAGAATTACTGTTTTCCCAATGTAAACATTTGTCCCGGGCATGTGTCACTTGTGCTCCTCTTGCCCCCTTAGGACCACTTCAATGTGCAGGGGTTAATCCCAGGGGCTTGTTGCCTAACACCATCTGGCAGATGGATGTCACGCATCATTCTCCCTTTGGCAATCTTAAATATGTTAGTGTGAGAATAGATATCTGTTCCTACTTTGTTTATGTCCTTGCCCTTTCTGGGGAGAAGGTCATCAATGTTGTCAAGGCCCTTAAGTCAGCCATGGTAGTTATGGGGATACCTTGGGCACTTAAGACTGACAATGGCCCTGCTTCTGCCTCTCAACAATTTAACGACTTTCTGGGGTCCTGGAAAATATTCCATACCACTGCCATCCCCTACAATCCACAGGGACAAGCCATTGTTGAGAGGACCAACAGAGCTCTTAAGGAGCTGTTGACAAGGACTATCTTGCCAGAGGCTAGAAGAGATCCTCATCTGTCCTTAACAAAGGTCCTTTTCCATATGAACTTTCTCAGTTTTGATGACAAGGGGCCTACAAGTACTGGGAGTCTCTGCCAAGAAACACATTTCTGCCCCGGTGAGATGGAGAGATCCTATCTCCCTCCAATGGCAGTCACCAGCCCCCCCTGCTAACCTGTGGAAGAGAGTATGCTTGTATTTTTCCCCAGAGTGTCACTACGCCAATATGGGTCCCAGCAAGAGATGTGCGTTTGGCCATAGACCAGTCTGTTTCCACCAAGGAGAAAATCACCCAGGATGGGTAATGTATATGCTCTCATTGCCCCTCTAAAGTCTGAAGACTTGTGGAGTCTTGCATTTCCTCATTTTGTATGATGCCTTTTGAGATGAGGAACATTAGTTTAGCAGGCTGGGAGCTAGCTAAATATATTAAGAGCCATGGTCAGCTAAATTTCTATACTATCCACTACAGCTAACACATAAAATTTTCCAATTAAATTAGACAAGAGCACAGGTTATGGCCTTTGACTCTTTATTTTTTGAAAAGGTTTGGCATAATAAAAAGAGGCTGTTTAATCCCTCCTGGATTTCACTTATGTTTTGATTGGCAGATGGTGCTTTTGATCTTTCTCCTTTTTAAGTTTCTCCTACAGCACATCCAACAACAACAGGCAGCCACTAAGGCGACTGTATAGGTGTTAATGGCTCTTATACACCCAACTCATAGCCCTCCACAGGAGGTTATGCATGCCTGGCTTTCTGAAATTCAAAAGGCTACTGCCTGACACTCCCCACCCAGGGTGACTCTCCAGGGATGGATGCTCTTCGAGGGCTGGTAGTCAAAGACAGGTAAGAGCTTGTTTGGCAAGCCAACCTAAGACAGGCACAGTCCAGTTGCTGAGCCCCCCAGAGGCGGGGTCAACACGGCAGGAGCAAAGAACTCCGACTCCCGCTGAGTGCCCATGTAATAAAATAAAAGGGTGGATATGTAGTAGGACAGGCCCATAAGGTCAAGGAAATTGGCTCAGACAAGGAGCCAAGGCATGCACATAACATATACCTTAAGAGCCAACCTGGAGTCTGCCTGAAGGCCTAGCAACAGTCATTATGATGAGTTCCTGGTCACTGTCAGAGTTCCTGATCATGCTGAGTCTGCCTGAGGACCTAGCAACAGTCGATGTGATGTTGGAGTTCCTGATTATGCCCAGCCAATGAGGGACAACCACACAGACTGGGCACTGGGAGGAAGGTATATAAGGCCTTCCCTGTTATTGAATAAATGAGGTCGTTATTTGCTTTCAAAAGACTCCCACTGTCTGAATCATTGATGCTGTGCCTTCTCACCCCCTTCCCTGAGGGAGCCTTAGAATCCAAGCAACACATGAGGACCCAAGTTCAATCCCCAAAACCCATGTATAAAAGCTGGGTGTGGAATCACATGCTTTAAAAATACTTATTTGTTTAATGTATGTGGGTATTTTCCATGCATGTCTGTCTGTGCACCACATTTGTGTCTCATGCCTTTGGAGGCCAGAAGAGGGAGTTGGATTTCCTGGAACTGGAGCTATAGACTGTTGTGAGCTGTCATGTGGGTGCTGGGAATTGAACCCTGGTCCTCTGGGTGAACAGTCAGTGCTCTTCACCAATGAGCCATCTCCCTAGCCCCTGGCAAAGCTTTAAATGCAAGTGATGAAGACAAGCAGATCCTCAGGGTTTGCTGGCCACTAGTCTAGCCTAATCAATGAACTCCATGTCACTGAAAGACCTTGTCTCCAGAAACAAGGTGGATGATGTCCTTGAAACAACACATGAAGTAATTCTCTACCCTTCCTTGGCATCAGCGCATATATACATATGCATGCAACCTTCCACATATAAATGTGAATGCACGCACACACACACACACACACACACACACACACACACACACACACACACACACACACAGAGTTAGCCTCAGTTTCACTACCTATATGATGAGAGATAAACCTCTTGACAGGAAGACTGAAAAGGAAGCCTTCTTGTCCACTGTGAATATCCCAGGCTATCCTTATTCTAACACTAAGGGAAAAAGACACCAGTACAGGACTTAGAAAACATATGTACCATTTATTCTGTTGGATAAACTTATGCTAAAACACAGGAGTAAGAGCTGTTTTGAGGGTTTTTTCCTTTTTTGACCCCTTGGGCAGTAATTGTGGGATTTGGGGATCAGTGTGGGACCCCATGATATTTGTACACTCACAGGAAGGTGTAGACTAGTCCAATGTGGGGGCAGGGCACAGCATACTTTATGAATGCTTGGTGTGAAGGTCATGATTTGTATTTATCAGGGTAGGTCACAGAGAGTTCTAGCAAAGGTGGATGATGTGGTTATCACAAGAAATTGAGGGCATCCACTTCTAATTCTCCCTTGTCTTGTGCCCATTCTCAGGAAAGTCTCCTGAATCCTGGAAGTTTCTGACAATTCCCTGAAGAAAGGAGGGTGGTCTCTGGGGGAAACTGTAGCATCCACTCTTGTCTACCACCAGCTTCATACTTAATCATATTATATATTAGGACCAAAACTCAGAAGAAAAAACTCCAACATAGTGTCCTCAGCTTATAATCAGAGGAGTAAACTTTTCTTTATTTCATGTTTCCCATATCGTAATAGTTACTAATGTGGAATGGATTTCTCCTTCAGAAAGGATGGATTGGGACAACGCCTGACCCCTGCCCCAGAAGACTGCTACCACTGAAGACCAACAATACCTACTCCTTTCATGAACATCACTGGGGATGGAGGGGCAAAGAGTGGGAAAGACAATGTCCAGAAGGAGTCCAGGTGTCCTGCCTCATGCAGAACAGTCTGAGCAATCAGCCTGGAGTCTCTGGGGGCACTGGAGTGATGGTGGCCAAGGAAGGGCTCTGAGAATGGAAAAGTCTGTCCTGAGACCTAGGACTTGGCTTGAGGGGTTAAGGACAACCCATCTTGACTGTCTTAGACTGTAGGTGTTTTTTTTAAGCAGGTGGTCCCAGTATCCCTCCATACCTCTTTCACAGAGAACCTATCACTAAAGCTGGAATTTCTGGACACTGGGGTGCTAGCTCCATCCACTCAGAAGGATCAGCCTTGATGGAAGGTGGTACTTGGTGTCATAGTTCATTCCTCCCACTTATCACACCTCCAGCCTTGGAAACATTCCTTTTATTTCCATTGGTCAGTGGCACTTTGTAGGGGCTCCTTAGTGACATCCAGAGTCAGGCAGGGGCTAAGCACTGACTGCTGGGGATTAGCAGTACCTCGAATGCAGCTCCTCTAGCAATCCTGACCCCAGGCTTTCTTATCCCTCTCCTGCCCCTCACCCAGACCATCTCAGCGGTAGACTGCCAGACTAGATTGGTCCCTCTTCTGGGGAACACACCCTTGCTGCTCCTCACCCACAGTTGGGGACAGTAGAGGAAAAAGAGGACAGGAATTCACTTCACTACTTCTCAACAAACAGCATTCTTGACTTCAGTGGGACTTTAGAACACCCTCCAGCTGGCCAGTTCTGGAAAGAGCAAGCCTCTGAGTTTGGCAGTGGCAAAGGATGAGGAAATCTCTGAATTCCATCACAGGGAAGACAAGAACTTCCTATGAGGCAGTTAAGATCCTCTAATTTCATCTTCCAAAGATTCTGAGATGGTGGATGTCAAATGCATATGGCATCATCTGAAAGTATGGAAGAGCTTGACAGGCTTTGGGGACAGCTCTGATCCATCCCTTTGTCTCTGTCCCAGGCTCTAGTCTGACCTCCTTGCGCCCTCCCAACAGTCCTGCTGCTTCTGTAGGATGCTGTATTCATCTTCTGACAGCTCACCCCACAGGCTACTCCTGACTGGAGTTTAACATTCAAGGTTCCACGGTCCCCAGCACGTGCCCTGTTTCAACTCCATGGAAACTGATTTCTTCAGTCTTCCTCCCAAACTCTGTTTCTTACCTCTGGGCCTTTGTTAGGCTCTCCTCCCATAAACTGGTCTGTGTCGCCTGCTGTGCTAGCCAGAAGCCCACCTTCCCTGACAACAGACAGAGGCAGAGTTTGCCTCTTTCTAGATGCCGTCTCCATGGCGCCCAACCTCTCTCCACCTTCTGTTGCAACTTTCACCCTTGGATGACTCTCTGCCGTAGGAAGTCATAGGACTCATCGCTCCAAAGTTATAGCCTGCTGCTAGAGGAAGGGTCATGGTGGTGTTGGCAGAGGAGGGACGGTGACTCCTATCCTCTGCCTTACCCACGTCAGTGCTTCTAGAAGGTTCTCGGAATGAATGGGGAAATGGTGGCCACATTTTCCTCAGCCTCCAGAGAGGTGGCTTCGGAGAAGTCAGGATGGCTGAGGATGGTAATAATGGAGGGTGGGAGAGAGGGTCCCCTGAGGTTGGCACAGCAGAAGAGAGGAACAGCACCCTGCAAGCTGACTCAGCCTCAGGAGCTTTGCATCCAGACCCCCTGACCAGCACCGGGAAGGAAGATGCCCTAGCAGGGAGGAAAAGGGAGTTGTGTATCAGCAAGGTCCTGCAGCACCTGCAGACAGTCAGCCTTCAGGGGTGAAGAAGTTGAGGGAAGATACGGATGGAGATGAAGCAGGGGCTTCAGTTAGGAAAAGTAGTCCGGGCACTGGAAAACTTTCCAGCTGCTGTCTCCTGCCCTCTGAGGTGTGGGGTCAGGGGCCGCAATGCGTGTGACACTCAGCCCATGGTTTTGGGCCCTGCACCCTTTCTGTGGATGCTCCACAACTGGCCCTCTTGTCACGTCTTCCTTGCTGTGACTAAGTGACAGCCAGGTGCTCTCTGAGGGCGAGAGAGCCAGCAGAACCCCCGAGCCCCAGCGGCTTGCTAGATGACTTCTTGCTTGGTGATAGTTGGCTGGGGAATGGCAGAGGGAGGCTTGACGATGGTGGCAATGGCTCCTGGCAGGAGCTTGTAGGGTTCAGATCCTGAGCCACTTGGCGGAGATGGCTGTGGAGTCTCAGGGGTGGCTAAAAGGAGAAAGGAAAAGAAGTTGCTCAAAATTCCAGTCTTTGTGGGAACAGCTGGAGAGCCCCGGGGAAGCTCTTCCAGCTGCTGAGACAATGATATAAATTAGATGATAGATCTAATCTCTAAGGCTGCTATGGCTCAAACTTCTAGGAGTCCCAGACCCTAGAATCTACATTCTGTGAGGTCTTCCCATCCATCTGTCCATAATTCGATATGAAGACTCAGGCTGCTTTACCCAGACCAGGGCCCAGGTGTGATAGTTCCCAAAGGCAATACGGTGTGTGATAAAAATATTCTGACTTTGAAGAAAGAGCAGTGATTGAGGCCCTGGGCTAACTGGGCCAAAACTGGCATTTCTTCAGTATTTAGGAGAAGAATGGTACAAATGAAAAGGCTTCATTCCCATCACAGTTGGGTGAGTGACTTTCACCAGCTCGGCTGCTTTCATTTAGTAGACAACTTTCCCAAAGCCAAATTCAATGAAATCCCTTTCATCCCAGTGGCCATCTCATCTCATTGGCGATCCTGTTCTTCGAAGAGCTTGGCCCAATGAGCAACTCAGCCACTGGAGATGTCCCCTCAGATGATGGCCTAGCCCAGTGGGCAGTCCTACTTAACTGCCAGCCTCTTTCAACTGCCCAAAGGATGGCATCATCCATCTGGCCAGCCCTATTTCAATGAACTTGCACCTAATGGACAACTTCATCTAATGGAATTCTCAGCCAACAAATGTCCTTGATGGCCCCTTCACCTAGTGGATTGCCGCAGTCAGGAGACATTGTCAGTCACCTTGCTGAATACACCTTACTGAATACACAGCTTTAAATAACAACAACCCCTCCCCTCCAGTTCCCTACTCTGAAACACACAGAACTATGTCCCTGGTTCCACTCTCTAGACACGATCTTCTCCGGCCTCCTTTCTTAGACCCCTCCTTACCCCTCGCAGGGTAGACCCCAGGCTGCCCACCTGCCTGCCCCCTGGGTCGGGGCCACTCACACATCTGTCCATTGCTGAGGTGAGAGGGCATCGTGTTGGCAACTATGACGTTGGTGCCCATGTGTTCCTGCATCAGGTGAGGGTGCAGGGGGTGGTGGGCGTGGGGTGCATCACTGGCAGACCCTGTAGATAGAAAGGAGGACATCAGTCAGGACTGGAAGTCTTGGAAAAGAACCACAGCCTTGCGGTGCCATATCCCTCCCCACCCCCCACCCCCCGTGCAGCATCAAGACCAACGGAGTGTCTCTTGGGTGCTTATTCCTGGGTTAGTAATGTAGAAATCACCAGGCGTGTCTGTGGGCTTCATGACTCGAAAGAAACGGGGCACCTCTGAGTTTAAATGCGATGAGTAGTCTCTTTGGTCGCATAGTAAAATGAGCACTAATTGCTGAGCACCTGTCCTGTGCTGGATACCGGCTTACAGCATTTTCAACTCTTTACATAATTTCATCCTCCTGCTAGTCCTAGAGAATGGATACCATCATCATCCATTCTCCAGACAAGATGACAGTATCCAGAGAAATTATCCTACCCAAATGTGTCTGACAAGCAGACATAACTCCTGATCCTGGCGGCAGTGGTATGACACCTGAGTCACTACAACTGCCAGTTCACAGGGTCACTGTGAGGATGAGTTCCTGTGAGGTGAGTTCCTGCCTGACAGCTGTTCTGGGGTGGGCGTTGGCCCCTTGACAATTTCTGGAGATATTTTTCATTGTGATTCCTGGGGAAATTCTACTCATATCTCACAGACAGAGGCCAGACATGCAGCTAAACAAGACGCAGAACATCTGCACTCAGAGAAGACCTGCGCCTCTCCAAACACCAACAGTGCCGCAGCAGAGAGCCCTGGCTCCCATCTCGGGGTCTCTGTGACACTGCATTATTTCCCAAGCCCCCAGTTCTACTTCTCGTGCTGAGGTTGTCACGCACTCCACAAAAAGTCCTTCAGCCCTGTTGAGGGGCTAGAACTGATGCCCACTTTTCTTCAAGGGGTGGTCATGGTCTGTGGTTAAAGTCACCATCTATCTCTCAGCCAACCTCAGCTCTGGCCCAGCTATCCTTCACGGGGAACATTATCAGAGCTTTGTCCGCTGCGTCTCTGCTTCATCGCTTTCCCATTTGCCCATCGCTTACTCTGTGATACCCTCCCAGCCTGGTTTCCACGCTCCAAATCCTCTGATGCTGCTCTCAACAAGAGGACCGAGACCCTGCTTGCTTCCACTCTCCTCCCTCTCCCCTAGTCCTTCATCAATTTCTAACTTCCATCCCTTCCCCAGCCCTCCCCTCCATTTCCTTCCTTTCTCTTACCCCCCTCCTTCCCTCCCCCCTCACCTCGTTTGCACCATTGTAACCCTGTCCTCCTGAAAACATATCTTTTCTTGGATTCTACGTTTTTCCGTTTTTCTCCCATCCCCCGGCTGATCTTTTCTAAAGCCTTCTGTGACACACCAGCTCCTGAATCCTAATGCTAGAAAGCCCGAGGCCATCTTTCTGGTCTTGATAGCCCAGTTTGGATTGTCCAAGGCTCCCACGGAGGAAGCAGTGGAGTCTAGAGGCTAGCTCAGGTTCACAAGAAGCCTGTCTCCCAAGAGACAGCATTACAGATCTACAGAGACGACCCGCCCCCCTCCCCCACCACCCCGGTGCTACAGACCTCCAAGCAGCATCTCCTGCAGCAGGTTGTCGATCTTGGCCATGCCAAAGAGCTTGATGAACTGGATCTGTTCGATCATCTGCCAGGTGATGCTCTGCAGGGTCGGCAACAGCAGCAGCAGTTCGCCAAAGCGGCCCCGAGAGTCATACTGGCGGTCGTTGATGTAGTCCTCCAGGCTCACCTGGACCTGAGACCGCAGCCGCTTGATCTTGCCTGGATCGCTCAGGCCCTTGGCGTCTGCAATGGGAGAGGTGGTCAGCAAGGATCAAATCCCCTAATTTGTAGGCCCCAATTGAGCAGCTTATTGACCTTGGAACACAGGGGGTCTTTTTTTAATTAATTAATTTATTATTAATGATTTATTAATTTTTAATTTATGTGCATTGCTTACATCTATATCTATGTAAGGTGTCAGATCCCCTGGAACTGGAGTTGCAGACAGTTGTGAGCTGCCATGTGGGTGCTGGGAATTGAACGCAGGTCCTCTGGAAGAGCAGTCAGTGCTCTTAATCGATGAGCCATCTCTCCAGCCCCATGAACACAGAGAATCTTAACCAGTGCTGGGACAAGAATTTAGGGTCCTCAAAAGATAGCTTACTCTAGAACAAATAGTGGCTTCCTGGACAAGGCAGGAAAAGATACGAAGCTTGGTGCAGCACGTTATAAACTCCCTTCTCTTTTAAACTTTCTTACACTGTGCTAGGAGTCAGACCCAGGGTCTTACACACACCAGGTGAATGCTCTGCTATCGAGAGCCCCAGTCTCTCCTTGTCTCAGGCAAGGGGAAATAAGGAAGACTTGGCCAGCTCATGCAACCAGTTGCTGGCAGAACCTTGATGTGAACTTGGGGCTCCTGGACCATAGATAAGGTTCCGCCATCTAGACCCTGCATTTGCCACATCAAGATATTGTCCCCTCTCTTGCCTGCTGCCATCTGTCACCTGGGGACTCAGCTGAGGCTTCAACTCCTCCGACAGGAAGAGACCCCACCCGCACTTTGCACTTTTTTTATTCAGCCAATCATCTTTCATGGAATGGCTGTTCTATACCGGCCTGGATTAGGTCCCCTGCCCTCAGCTAAGCTGCTGACTCTTCCTTGGGGCCAGTAATATTACATCTGTCACTGAGCAATGACTACCCTGCCCAGCCCTGAGCTTTGCACCACAGGACTGGAACTAGACTCTTGCCCTCTGGGAAATGGGGAGTTGTGTACAGAAAGCAAGACTGTGAATTGGAAAGACATATATAAATTAACAGCCTGGAGTTCAAATCTGCTCTGCAATCCCAGCACTCAGTAGGCAGAGGCAGGTGGAACTCTGTGAGTTTGAGGCCAGTCTGGACTACAGAGTGAGTTCCAGGAAAGGCTCCAAAGCTACACAGAGAAACCCTGTCTCAAAAAAAAAAAAATCTGCTCTGCAAGTTTCTAGTTCTGTGACCTTGCTTGAGTCAATCAGTCTCTCTACACTTCCATCTTCTCCTTATTTGAAATGGGGTGAAGATGGTCTTATCTCACAGGTATCATGCTGTATATAATCTGGATGAAATGTTTAAAACTGTGCATCCAGGAGCCCTCAATAAAAGGTAGTCATTTTCCTCTTGGCTGCTTTTATTGCTAGAGGTCATCTTTGTGAAACCAGGGACCAGCACCAAGGACAGCACCCAGCGCCTAGCTCCCAGCAGGTCTACACTCGGGCAGGTAAGAGAGAAGTCTCGGATAATGAGAAACAAAAGCAGGCTTTGCACAAAGATTTGACTACAGACATAACTGTGCAAACTCAGGGACAAGAGTCAGCACAGTCAGCAGGGAGAGGACAGAGAGAGCCTGAAGGGAGAGGACGCAGCATCCTCATTCTAACCAGAGAAGGAAAGATGATGTTGCCTGAAGCTGACAGGACAAGAAGAAAGATGAGATGGGAAAAGTAAAACCCAGGCCTTTGCAGTCTGTGCCCTGCAAAGTCCTTCCTCCCTGGGAACTCTGGTCTGCCTCATCTATTCAATGGGGTTGATGAAAATGACTTCTTCTGGTTGTCATGACAATGCAAGAGGTTGGGAGCCTATCAGGAATGTGACAGCAGGTCTGGGGATGTGAAGGACACATTAGGAGGTGTGAGTGGTACCTGGGTCGAAGAAGATGATGGCTTTGAGGCAGGCATACTCATTGTCATCAATCTGCAGCTCCTGGAAGGGCAGGACCAGCTCATCGAGGATGCGAACGGACACACGGCTCATCTCTGCCAGCTCTGGGCAGTGCCGAGGGACGATATAGTCATTGCCTGGATGGGTTGGAGGGGAGAAGATGGGGCTGTCACCTTGGTTGACCTCTTTCACCCCTGGTTGTGATTGACAGTTAAGAGTGTGCCTGGTGCTCCTGGGAGGAGCTACTGGGATCACCACGCCCATTTTACAAATCAGAAATCTGAGGCCAATGGAAGAAGATGAATACCTGAAGTTTTGGGTGAGCTAGGTATTAGTTTTATCAGAGGCCTTTCATGTTCCCCCAAACTCCTTTTACCTGCATGACTGAAGATGAAAGAAAGCCAAGGCCCATTGGGAGGCACTGAAGCATCTAGGCCAAGGGACAGATTCCGGAATTGGGTCACCCCATCTGAATGGCTGGGTATGGTTAGGTAACATATTTGACTTTTTGTGCCTCAGTTCCCTCATCTATAAAAATGGGAATATCTAACAACTATCTTGGGGATGTTGTATTGAAAAAGGTCGTAAACATTTATCTGGCAGTTAGCATAGTCCTTGACATATGGAACACATTACACATTACACATGCATTCCCAATAATAAGTATGTCCCAAAGGCCTGGGTGACATGGGCTGGTGGGGGGGGGCAGGCTGTACAATTCCTAGCCACCTTTTGTTTCAACCCCAGAAAGAACTTTGAAATGCACTGGAAATTTCAGGGACAACGGATTGCTGCCTAGCATGAAGGCCAGGAGAAGCCCTCTCCTGTACCTGTATTCCCTACATCTGAGGCAGGGAACCACCCGGGAGCTGGGTTCTGGAACCTTGTGCTTTGGTCAAGCTTAGGAACAGGGCTGGGTTACATTTTTTAAAATTTTACTCATGCTGGGGGTGGCCACATGTGTCTACCACAGAGTTACACCTCTAGGCTCTCTTAAAAGTTTTCTGAAATTGCATCTTATCTATCTATCTATCTATCTATCTATCTATCTATCTATCTATCTATCTATCTATCTATCTATCTATCTATTTTGGGGGAGCAGTCTGTGTGTCTCGGTGTGCATGTGGCAGTCAGTGCACAATCTCAGGAGTTGGTTTTCTCTTTCCACCATGTGGGTCCCTAAGCCCGAACTCAGGTTGTCAGTCTTGGCAATAGGTGCTCTTCCCACCTGAGCCATCTTGCCAGCCCAAGGTATTGCTAGTGCACCCTCATCTGAGAGTTGCTAGATTTTTTTTTAAAAAAATTATTTCTTATTTTAGTTGAAGATAGGGTCATGCTATATTTCTCAGGCTGACTGAACCCTCCATGTAGTCCACCCAGGCATGTCTTGACCTTGTAAACTTCCTGCCTCAGCTTCCAAGGTAGCTGGGATTACTGGCTTGCAACAGAATATCTGGTTTGGGATGTTTCTGATCTGCCAACCTGGTCCCTATGTGTTACAGTGGAGATACTCTTCCTTTGTGGGTGTACCAAGCTGGGTTCCACCCCTCAAGCTCTGTCTGGGACCAGCAGCCTCCTCACCTAGGAGCAGCACGTCCTTGAACACCATGGATCTCTTGGTGGCTCCGAGCAGCAGGTGCTCACCGGCGTGGGCTCTGAGCAGGGCTACCTGGAAGAGAGAAGGGGTGAAGCCTAGCATCTGCACCCCGGGAAGGCTGCTCATAGTCAGGTCAGCGGCCTTGGCAAGTCAGCTCTGTGTCCCCTCTGCCTTTACTGGTCTGAGCTCTGAAAAACACAACCTCTGCCTTCCTCCCATGACTGATGAGACAAGGAATGTAGAAAGGATTCTACAGAGACCAGGAAGGTGGAATGTGCTCTCCAAACCAGGGCATCTCCTGTTCACTCTGCTCTTGAACTCGTGTGTCTCCATCTTTGGGCAAGGAGCTGTGCCCTGGCCTCATCAGGACATAGGCCATACGGGGTGTGCATGCCTCAGACCAGATTTTCAGGAGTGTTGGCTTGTCCCAGGTGTTTTAAAATTGTGGGTTCCAAGTTTCTACAAGCATGCCAGTTGCAGGGAGCTGTTAGGGCCCTTTAGGAAAAGTCATAGTCTTGGGTTCAACTACCAGTGACCCTGATCCTGTATGTATGAGCTGGACCTGTGATATGCAGGCAAGGAGCTTCCCTGTTGGTTCCAAAGCTCCGCTGAGTTTGGGAAGTCACTGGTGCTAAAGATCTCCACAGAGCCTTTACTGCTGACACTGTAAGATTCTGGGATTCTCAGAGAATCTACATGAGCTCCTACATGGATGTCTGTTCTTAGAGTGTTGTCTCGCCAAGTACAGGGCATCACCAGGCCCTGTCTTTTCATGGCAGTCTGTGAAGACTGAAGTTCGAGGTCAAGTCTGGCTGTTTCACCGTACATCGCCTGCGCTTTAGAGCCATTGATCTTAGTGCTTGTGTGAAGACCAAGAATGGCAGCGGGCTGGTGGCCCTGGAGATCTGTGTACTCGGTGCGAGGCTGCAGGTAGAAAGTCATGCTGGGAGAGTCAGGTGCTGCTGCTCTGTGCTCATCCCTTTGGTGGCTCATTCACTTAGTTGTCAAATATTAGATGCCTACAATGTGTGGTTCTTTTAAAACATGTTGTTGTTGTTGTTGTTGTTGTTGTTGTGTGTGTGTGTGTGTAGGTCACAGAACAACGATTTTCTCCTTCCACCCTGGGAATCAGCCTTGACAGCAAGTGCTTTTACCTGTTGAACTGTGTCTCTCCAGCCCTCCTAGCCACTCAGACAGTGTGGGGACACAACAGTCTCTGAGCTCATAGAACTGTCAGGCTGAGAGAGTGAGGGGAAAGGATTGATAAAGTAGGCAAGGAAACAGAGCGGGAGGATGCTGCAATGGGCAAGAGAAGGGAGGGAAAGAGGGAGAAAGAGAGATGGAGGGAGAAGGGAAGGGAACACAGGGCAGCGAGACAAGAGAGGCTGCATCGATGGGAGCGCAGGGCAAGCCTCTTTAAGGAGGCGACTTGCTGAGCAGCCAGAGGGTCCTCGGAACACAGCGAACACACAGATCTTTATTGAAACAAGGAAAGGGAAGACTGGAGAGGGGAGTGAATGACTGAGCCAGCAGGCTGACTTCCTCCCAACTCCGGTTCCTGCTGAGCCCACCTGTGAGTGGGGACCCCATCCACTCCATGGCTGGGACCCATGAGAGAAACCAAAAGTGGGAAGGATGGGGAAGCTCGGAGGTGAGCCACTGTTTTCTGTGAGCAATGGGAAGGGACAGAGCAGATATTCGTCACTGAGTGTCCTCTACCCGGGAGGCACCGCGGTGCTCCCAACCATTAGCTCTTGGCTCTCAGACTGCAGAACAGAGACCTGAATCAAATCCCAGGGTGGTGGCTGATGTGCCTGGGCTTTAAGCCAATCACTTTCTCTTTCTATGCCTTAGTCCCCTTATCCAGTCAGACCTGGCCTTCTAGACCCAGGAATTGGCTATCCAGGTATAACAAGAAGATGGGCCCTTGAACAATGGAAACGTGGGTCCCTAGGAAGGCCACGTCCTCAAATCTCACAGGTGGCGTCAGCCATGCTAGACAATATGGTCTCCTTATATATTACGAATAGGTTCCCAGGTCCAACCCTCAGACATGACAGCTGTGGGGTGTAGGCAGGCAAGGGGGCATTAATGATTGGCCCATGTTACTGGCCACCCATCACTGCCCTCAGAGAATGCTCTGAGCTCCAGCCAGAGAGGTTTGGGTGGGAAATAGAGGTTAACAATTGCTCAGCTTGGGGGTATCTTGTTGTCCTGCTAAGTTCCTGGGAAGGAACAGGCGGGGTTAAACATTAATTCAGGCTCTCCAGCAGAGGGACAGGGGCTAACGCATGAGGAGGGGTAGGAGAAGGCAAGGACGGCTTGGACAAGATCCCTGACTGTCAGGTCCAGACCCGGGAGGAGGCTGAGGGGCAGCCAAGCCAGTGTTGACCTAGAGTGCCCCATGACTTTCTGATAGGTGTTTGAAGAGGCTCGGGAGGACCTGGCTTCTGCAGAGAGGAACAACAGTGAGGCTGGGTGACTTCTCTGAGGCACTGAGCTTGTATGCAGCCAGGCATGGTGGCACACACCTTTAATCCCAGCCCTTGGGAGGCAGAGGCAGGCAGATCTCTGTGAGTTTAAGGCCAGCCTGATCTACAGAGTGAGTTCAAGGCCAGCCTGGGCTACATAGTGAGACCCTGTCTAAAACTAAAAAATAACCCCCCAAACAAATAACAACAAGACAGGAGATGCTGCAGTATCAAACTCATGGGCAAAGAGCTGAGGCTTTCGATGTTGGGAAGGTGGCTGATACCCTCCCCATTACCCAGGCAGGGAAAATGTCTGCGCAGGCCAAGGGGTGTGTGTGTATCAGGAGCCACAGGATGAAGCATTTCAGAAACTTATCCACCCAAAGACACACACAGCCCTCCACCCCTGCACTTCCCCTCCCTGGACCCATTTCAGGAGTCCAGAGAAGGTGCCTTGAATATAAAATGCTGACAAACCATCTTGGGAGAAAAGCACGAGACTCAACAACATTGGGGCGGACGGCAGAGGTCCGGCTGAACTGTTGTTGCACCATCCAGGACTTTTCAAACAAGAACGGCCCCAGTTCTGACAACACTCTGGAGAGATAACTTCCACTTGGTAGATAAGAACACTGGGCCTTGGAGCTAAGTAATTAGTCCCAAATCACCCAGGGAACTGGTCTTAAAACCAGAGCTTAAGCCAAATCTCCTGATTCCCGGTTTCAGATCCCTGTCAACACCTCCAGGAATGCTGAATGATGCAGTGGTTAAGAGTCTGGACTTTGGAGCATCCCTGGTTGGTTCTAATCCCACTTATGTTGATTACTGGCTGGGTGACCTTGAGTAATTTACTTAACCTCTCTGTGCCCTGGTTTCCTCACCTGGAAGATGAGAAACATTCCTATTTCATAGTCCTTAGGGAGACTGAGCTAATATTTGTAGAATGACTTAAACAGTTCTGGGAACCCATGAGTGATGTGTATTTCATTGAATAAAATCAAATCAGCCCGAGGCTATGTCTTTGGTAGGTCAGCTAGACCCCGATGGCCCAGTGTCCACCTCTGCTCCCAGCGTACCTGCCCTTACCTGGTCATCTAGAAGGAGCTCACAGAAGGCCGGGATGTACTTGGCCCACTCCACCAGAACCAGCAGCTGCTCCTTCATGGACTCACACACATCTGTAATGTTGGCGATCTTCTTTGCCCGAATGTCGCCATTGATCCCAGAGATGGGAGAGGTGATCTACAGGAGACAAGAAAATGCTGGGGGTGGCACCTTTCCCCTGCACTTCCTGTCCCTTGCACGGAGCCCATTCCCTAGGAAGTCCTCTGTCTGGTGGCAGCTGGACTGCATTGTACTGCCAGGTCAGTAAGAAGCTCTGAGCAAAGGGACAGGGAGGACTCATAAACAGGGAGCATTCTGTTTGGACTGCCACCAGCTGCCTGCCTTGCTCCCCTCCCTTCTAGCTCCTCCGAGTCTCAGGAATCCCTTGGGTGTAAAAGAGGAACAAGGCATGACTCTCATCTCATACATGAAGTCACCGTGGCCCAGAGCAGCACTGTGACTTGCCTGAGGTCACGTGGCCAGAGGTTGGCTGAGCCCATTTGCCACCATGTTGCAACGGTTACTTCCTTTTGGTAGGCACTACTTCTTGAGCCCTCAAGGAGAGCAGTTTGGGTGGCCTGGGAACACGGCCATTGAGATGAACTAGACAGGCCCCCAGGATGCCAGACCTAGGTTCCAGCTCTGTCTGTCACAAAACCAGTGTGTGGCACTGGCTTCAGCTTTCTTCCTGCGGTATCTGTGACCCTTTCCATGTGGGGGTCTAGGTTCTGGTAGGAGGACGCAGAGGTAGAAGTGAGTTCCCCCTGAAAGGGAGCCCAGGTAGGTGAGAGAGCCCCTTGGTACCTGCTGAGACAGGACCTCTGCCTGCAGGAGCGCATTAATGGACGGCAGGCTGCTGTCCTCATAACTTGACCTCCGTGTGCTGATCCGGTCCCGCTCATTTTGGACGGCTATGAGGAAGCAGAGAGAGGTAAGGAGGAGCACTAAGGGGCGGGGGGATGTCCCACAACCATTAAGGAATTGGGAGACGTGGGAGGAGAGGGTTCAACCTGGACTGGGGTCACCAGAGTGCTACAGGTGGACATTTACCGTGTGTGTGTGTGTGTGTGTGTGTGTGTGTGTGTGTGTGTGTGTGTGTGTGTGAGACGCATGTGAGCATACATGTGCCATGGTGCGTGTGTGTAGGCCCAAGGACAAATTGTAGGAGTTGGTTCTTCTACCATGTGGGTCCCAGGAATGATCAAATCAGGTTGTTGTCAGGCTGAGTCATTTCACCTGTCACATTTGGGATTTTTTAACTCAGTTTGCAAAGCTTGCTAGACACCAAAACTTCCCTCTGCCCTATATACAATGAGAAGACTGAAGACCTCACAGGCCATTCGCAGAGGCAGGTCAGTGACAAGTCCGTGGAGGATGGATCGCAGTCTGAATAGTACAGTGAGAATCTGCCACCGTCCCAGATCCACGATCCTGCTTGCAAGCCGATTGATCCCTCCCCTTCCAAATGAGCAACTCTTCTCTCCTGGTGATGCAGGAGTGACCCTGAGATTCCTGAATGCTAAGCAGAAGTCCTGGGTTGGGACCTGGAGGCCCAGCTGCCCTAGTGGACTGTCTGCTGGGAGGAATCCTGCTCTCTAGGCTAACCTGGGAGAATGAGAGATAAGTTGTCTCTTTCCTTCCCATACTAGGAACTCTCCAGAATCCAAGAACTGAAGGCCTTGTCTCCTAGACCTCCAGCCCACCCTCCACCCCTAGCTGAGCCAGCGGAGGCCTAAGGTATCAGACGTCCTCTCACTGTCCCACCTGTCCCCTGGAGTGTAAGGGGCCTCGTATGGAAGGGAGGGGTGAGAGCAAGGCTGCACAGATCTCTCACTCTGTGATGGTGGGGATACCTCCCCCGGGGCCTCTGTTTGCCCATCTATCCAAAGCTCCTTCCCCTCAGCCTGCTCCCCGCCTTGTCTTCCGTCTCAGGAACTGGCAGGCAGTGTCTTCCCTGCACGCAGACACCCTCCCACACACTGGTTCACAAGGACCTGCTGGGACGGTCCTCACACGGGAGATCCTGTTCTGCTCCTGAAGGCCCCACCACTCTCCCAGGGGCTGGGCCAGGCCCTCCTAGAGTTCCTGAGACCCGAGGCTCCTGGCTTTGCCTTTTGGGGTTGAGCTGCTCTCAGGGATCCCTCTAAACATATCCAGGTCCCCTGTCACATTCTGCTCAGAACGGATGTCACCCTATCTCATCCCTGTTACTACTTCCCTCTCTCTCAGTCTGTCCCCAGTACCTGCCGCTCCCTATGTCTAGACATCCACCCAGGCCACACATGTGCTCAGGGCCTTTGCCCAGCCATTCCTGATGCCTTGAATCCCCTTTTCCATCACCATCAATGGTCGGAGAATGACTCGCTGGTTAAGAGCATGTACTCCTCCAGGACCTGAGTTCGGGTCCCAGAATCCATATTGGGTGGCTCACAAATGCTCTGCAGGAGCCTGCACTCCAGTATGTGTGCATATACACGCAATTAAAAATAAAGTAAGTCTTTAAAAAAAATGTCACCAGGCAGTGATGGCACACACCTTTAATCCCAGCAGAGGCAGGTGGATCTCTATGAGTGCGAGGCCAGCCAGGTCTACATAGTGAGTTCCAGGACAGCCAGAGCTACACAGAGAAACCCTGTCTCAAAAAAAAAAAAAAAAAAGAAAAGAAAAGAAAGAAGGAAAGAAAGAAAGAAAAAGTCAGGTGCTTTTTCAACCTCCTTTGACACAGTGTTGTGCCCCAGGCTCTGCCCTCTTATGCTGTTTAAATTTCCCCCATGGTATCTATTGTAGCATTATTTGCTGAGTTCTTTATTATCTAGCTCCAAAGCTCCAAAAAGCCAGAGCTTCTTCCCTCCTGTTCACCCTGGCCCCTAAACACCCTGACACATAGTAGGTATGCAATAAAGATCTGTGGAGTGAGATGTCGCTGGATAAGACAGCACAGGACTTCACAGAACACTCACACTCTACTCTGCAACTTCCTCTTGATTTCAGAATGCTGAGATCTAGAGCTGGGTGTAGAGGCTCATGCCTGCAATCCCAGCATTTGGGAGGCTGAGGCAGGAGGACAGACCAGCGTGGATTACAGATGTTGGGGCCTGGACAGATGGCTTAGTTGATGAGAGCATGCACCACTCTTACAGAGGATTCCATTTTGGCTCCCAGCACCCACATCATGTAGCTCACAACCACCTGTAACTCCAGCTCCTGGAGATAGAACACCCTCTTCTGCCTTCTAGTGCATGTACACACGCGTGCATGCACGCGCACACACACACACACACACACACACATACACACACACAACAACAACAACAATAAATTTAAAAAAGAAAAGGAAAGAAAACAGTGAGACCATGTTGCAAAAACCCAGAAATAGAAGTCAGAAGTGTAGGACAGAGACCCTGAGGTGTACCAGTCCCCCACTGCACTGGCTGTACCAGCCTGCCACACCCCTCCCTGGCAACCCAGCCTGCCCTGTCGCCTGCCCCCACTGGGCGCTGCGGGGAGGCGGGCGGAATGAAAGGCTGCTGTCAGCAGCTGTGGAGAGAGCTCCTCAAGGTTAGCCTGGCCTTATCAGCACCCGAGCCAGCTCAGTCACGGAATGATGTTTTCCTAATGTTTGCGCAGTATTAGCGGGGTCGGGGACCTAATGTAACTTCCATTGAATATTAACTACAGGACAGAGGTGGAGAGGATATGAGCCTGTCTTCCTAGAGAACCCTGGGTGGGCCCTGGGGGCTGAGCTGGGCTTGTGAAGAAGGTCGTACAGGGTGGGCCATGCTCCTCCTTTACTTCTGGGTCTGTCTCTGGCATGGCTTTCTGCTGCCAGGAGCTGGGCCCTTTTCTCTTGGGCCCAAGAGCCAAGGCTGGGCAAGTGTTCCTCTCCCTGACTTTAGTCACAAGACAGAATTTTCCACCAGCTGTTTTCTTGTTCATCAACCCCCCCCACACCCCTGGGCTCTCCCATCCCCAGCCTTTGCCCTCCAGCAAACCCCTTGTGGGCTCTGTGGCATGTCCTCTGCCCAGGAAGGATGTGACGCTCTTCTCTGCTGTACCAGCAGGTTTCAGTCACCAGGAACAGAATGTGCTACCCTAAATGATCTTTCCAAATTTCAATCCAGAGAACTTGAAGGCTTCGTTCTTACAGCCTTGGATCCTAAACCTCACCCCACCCCACCCCATCCTATCACCTCTCTTGCCTCGATTTCCCTACCTGGGAATCGGGTGGGATCTTCCTTTTCTTGCCCTAGCTGCTCTGGAAGCCTGTTTCCAGCTCACTTTCTGGTGTTGGTCCCTAAGTCATGTGCAGGAGAGGTTGACAGGAAACTAAGTAAAAACATGTCTCTAGTCACCTGGTCAGCGGCTTTGGGATCTTTCCATCAAGCTGAGGACACGTACTGGGGACTGTTAAGTCTTAGGCAGAGCAAGCAATAGCCTTCCTAGTGCTTGCCCATGGTGGCCCAGAATGCTTTGCTTTCTTGGTCTACTTGTACTTCACAATCCCTCAAAACTCCAGGTGAGTGTGTACACACACACACACACACACACACACACACACACACACACACACACACACACACACACACACGAGCGTCTACTGGCCCCAGAACTCTCTGTCAGTGGCTTTCCTGTCTTCCTGGTAGAAGGTTTATTTCCTAGCCCAAGAAGCAGGCAGTTCAGTTCAAGGCTGAGCTAAGGCTGGGTGGGGTGGGGCTCCTCTTCTCTCAGGAGCTGGGATCTAGGGTCACTTGGGTCTGTGGATCCCTGGGACAGGTAGAGCCCAGAGGGGCCAGGAGTGTCCATCAGTTTGCCCCCAGAAACTGTTTAACAAAAGACATATGACACATGACCACATGCAGACTTACTAGTCAGCCATCTGCCTCATTGGACTGCCTGCTTTTCTCCCACGTGCTGATCATTCTACAGGAGAGGTTCATTCCCAAACACAATGCCCTATGGGCTGCCATTGTGCTTAATATCATGGGGTACTGGAAAATAGTATCACCAGGTATTAAACCAAAGCCCTTAGGTTGTAGGCATTCATCCTGTGTCCAGCATTCACACATGCACCACAGTCCCCTTCCACAAAACAGTCCTCAATGAGGTGAGCATGGCGCCACATGCCCATGGGAAGAGGTGGGCATAGGCCTTTGAAAAAGCCCCAGCCCCCACATCAGAAAAGCAGAGATCTGCCAGAATATGGTGTGTATAGCAGGACCCCTGGGCTCTAATTTTCCAATAAAACTCTTGAGCTTGCATTGAGGATCTGTAAGGACCCTTCTGAGGGACAGGCAGTAAGAATAATCTCAGAATGGGAGAGCAGAGACTGGGAAGGGAGGTTGTCACGCTTAGCTCACCTTCCGTCTGGCTCAGCCTAGGATGGGCTGGAGCCCAGCGTGTGTGTGTGTGTGTGTGTGTGTGTGTGTGTGTGTGTGTGTGTGTGTGTGTTCCCACAGGACTAGACTGAGGGTCTGGCCAGGAGAGCACAGTGTAGGCTGGAAGTAAATATTAGCTGGGAAAAGTGAGTTGAGAGACAAGAAGAGATTTGAAAATGACTTCAAGTTATTTAGAAAAAAGTTTAGAAGGTTTTTTTGTGAGTTTAAAAGGAAAATAATTCCTTTTTTCCTCCCCTCCCTCTTTTATCCTCTTTCTCTCCACCTCTGTCTGTCTGTCTCTCTGTCTGTCTCTCTTTCTTCCCCTCTCTCTCCCTTCCTTTCCCCTCTCTGTCTGTCTGTCTGTCTCTCTCTCTGTCTCTGTCTCTCTCTGTCTCTGTCTCTCGTAGGCTGACACTGGCCCAGGGCCCTGCATGTTTGCCAGACAATGGGTCTGCTACCATGCTACAGCTCTGGCCACTGAAAACAATCTGTGAAGAGGCCTGGGGGGCTCAGTGTAGGGAGCACTGTGTAGGAAGCACTGTGTAGGGAGCACTATGTAGGAAGGACTGTGTAGGGAGCACTGTGTAGGAAGCACTGTGTAGGAAACACTGTGTAGGGAGCACTGTGTAGGGAGCACTGTGTAGGAAGCACTGTGTAGGGAGCATTGTGTAGGTAGGACTGAGGTGCTCAAACAGCATGAAGCTGGGGGTGGGACCTCTACTCTTCCAGTAACTGCCATGGAGGCTTCTGCAAGGCGACTAACCACTGTGGTCCTCGGTTTCTTCCGCCATGAAAGGCGACAGTATTCACTCCAGCCTCACGGAGCTGTCCCAGGAATGAAAGAGGAAGAGCCAGCTCCATGTCTGATGGCGGGAGTTGGCTGGGGCAGAGACTGCTCAGCAATTCCATCTCTGCCATCAGGGCTGGGATTGAGGCCTCATCCCATGGGTTGGAAGGGGAAAGTTCTAGAGATTGCCTGACTCCCAGGAATGAGGACTAAGGGAACTGGGGTGCTTGTCTTTGGACAGGACGCCCAGAAGAGGGCCCTCTGGTGACATTTGTGAAGTCTCGGTGGCAGGCGCTTGGGTGTTCGCTGTGTGGTGTCCGACGCCTTTCCTAGCTTGCAGTATCCATTAGAAAAAGTACCCATCTTGGCTGCCTCATGGAGGTACAGGAAAGCCCAGTGGCAGTTGCTGGGAGCCGAAGTGAGTGAGTGGGAGCTTTATCTCTGGATCTTTCTCAAGACCAAGCCCAGCCACTCCCTGTGGTCAGATCTGCAGGCCCTCCCTCCTCTCAGCCATTAGCCAGTCATCCCAGGGCCTGTCAGGGAGCCATAAAGTATGGCTAGAGTTGTAAATGCCGGGTTGGTTGGAGCCGGGGTGCAGGTGGGGCAGGGGTGTAGGGAGGGCTGAGGCTCACCTTCCTTCTTCATGCCAGCCCGGAAGCACTTCTTGAGTCTGCAGTAGCGGCACTGGTTCCTCTTATCTTTGTCCACTACACACTGCCGGCTAAACCTGGAGAGGACATGGGATGGAGGGATGGAGAAGGCACAGCCTCCCCCTCTTAGGGCGGAATGAGGACCCTGGCTGCTTCGGACCCTGACCCAGCTCCCAGCTTCCTTCCTCCATCTCTGCCCACCATGAGTTCTAACGTTAATCCAGCGGAAGCCAGAGGGATCTCCGGACTGTCTGAAAGTCCAGTCTGTCCACTCAACATAGGAAACTGAAGCCCAGAAAGGTGACACGTGACGTTGGTCACTCAGCTGACTGTCAGTGGAGCTGAGTTGGAAACCTTAGTCTCTTGAATCCCATAGCATAACTATTTCCACCATCTCCTGTGAGAGCCCACAGCAGGCTGCTGGCTTGGAGTCGGCAGTTGGCTCACAAAAAGTAAAGGCAAGGTTATGGGGGTGGATGAGTTCCAATACTGACTCCGCCACTCAGTTCAAGTTGGCTGGCTTCGGGTAAATTCCTAGCTCTCCAAGACATAGCTTCCTTGTCTACAAAACGAGGGTGATAATTGGGACACTTCAGAAGGGCATTGACAGGTGACAATGAGGTATGGCAGGTTTGGCATGGGACAAGGGCTCAGTCAACCACTGCTAATATTTTGCTGCTGTTATCCAAAATGAGAGATGCTTTTGAAAGAGGGGTTGTCAGAATCTTGGGAGCGGGGCCACTGGGATAGGTGGAAAGGCTTAGGGCCAATGCCTTGTTGGAACCTAGCAAAAGTAGTATGTTGGAGGGCTGGTCCCATCCTTTCTAAGGTTGGTAGGCAATTGCTAAGGTAGCTGCTACCACCTGTGTCCACAGATGCTAACAGATCATCTTTGAAGGCCTGGAAGGCCAGATGCCTCAAGAGGGACCCCTGGAGGACATGAACCCCAACATATACATTTTCCAGCCGAGTAAGGCGAGGCCCAAGCTGGCTCCTCACCTGCAGGAATACATGTGGTTCTTCCTCACACTCCTCCTGAAGAATCCCTTGCAGCCATCACAGCTTGAGGCTCCGTAGTGTTTGCCTGTGGCCCGGTCTCCACAGATGGCACACAGGGCACTGACGCCCAAGCTGTTGGATGAGTTGAGGTTGGCGCCTTCAGACGGGGATGTGTCTGCACCAAAAGAGAGTGAGTGAGAACCCAGGAGGGGCAGAGAGTGAAGGGGGAGGAGCCTGAGATATAACGGGTTCTCCACAGCTGGGGGCTATGTCCGCTCCATCCTTCTGCTCTCAGGGTCACTGGGTTTTCAGAGTCTCAGTTTCCATCCGTACACCAGAACCAACTGTACTGCCGGTCTCCTGGGGGCACCGGCAATGACCAGCTTCCTCAGGAAGGATTGAAACCTGACCACCACTTAGCCGCAGTCATTTACAGTCTCCTGGTTGGGAGCTACGGGAGAGACAGCAACCACCCCTGTCTCTTCCTCATCAGGAGAACCGGAACAGGAGTACCTGAGCTTAGCCCTGGACTCCACAGACTCCCCCAAGGAGGGGAGAGTTATACACCAAGAACATTCTTCCCTTTGCCTATGGGCCAGGTGCTGACAAGGGTCTGGGCAGATGCTGAACCCTCTTACCACAGACGAGAAGCCATCCCCCAGTCAGAGTGTGAGCAGGGCACTCAAGACCTCTGGCAAAGGAGGCTTCAGCTTGTGAGCATTTGTGCCAATACCACCCCTAGTTTACTTTTGGTCTGGACCAGCTCCTTTTCCTAGCTCCAATTTCACCTGGCCTCGATTTCCCTAACTATAAAAGGGATCACTTTAACTGGTTTGGTTGGTTTTAAAGAAAAAAAAAAGTCAGCAGAAGATATTTCTTTTTCTAAAAGCAAATCTTCCACCATAGATAAATTGTTTAGGAAACCTCTTCACTGGGGAGGTAAAAACAGGAGGATGGAGAATTCAAGCCTAGCCTCAGCTACATAGTAAGTATGAGGTCAGT